TGCTGTGAGGCGACAGCACTACCTACTGCGCCACTGCTTCGCCCAGCATAAAAATGTATATACATAAATCACAATTTAAATGGACAAATAAATAGATATGTTTAAATTGTGTTTTTAACCCCCTGTGGTCGAAGACAGCGTATACGCGTTCTGACAAGTTTTTATCTCATTGAGCTGAAATGAACCTAAATTTCACTTTCAGTTTTGATCGTACAGATAAGATCAATACATCAATCGAATCTGTTAGGTGTCTACTTTTAAATGTGTACACTCACGACAAAAACAAATGTGTGTGCTTTTGCAAATCAAGGATAATAAACAGTGTAGGCATTCTGTCTTTTCTCTCTCCGTGAACTGTTTTTAGAAACGTGTCAGCAAAATGCGCTGAAACTCCGCGAAAACAATACACCCAGACACGAGACACATATCTTTATAAAGCTTGAAGTGTCTACTTTTAAACGCAGCTATGCATGTTGAAAACAAATATTGTTTGATAAAGTAATCAGTATGAAAGCAACGCTATGTCTAGCTTCTCAGTCTGAGCTCATTAGAGTTATTGCGACCAGGCCCACGAAGCTTTGACATTACAAACAGCCTGCATGAGGAGCGCGCAACAGTAGACTGTGTCAGGAAAAACACGTCATTAAAATGAACTGAATCTCAGCAAATACTCGACAAAGAAACATGTGAAATGTTTCTAAAGAAAGCTTGATATGTCTACTTTTGCATTAACCAATATAAGTCGAAAACAAATAATCTTTCAAGTAATTCGTATAAAAGTAAGGGCAGGTACTGATTCTCCTGTCGCCTCATTACAGCGAACATGATCCCGCCCCCAGTGAAGGCGCATTTCATATGGAAATGAACTGAGGTGAGCCAGCCAGGTGATAATGTAAACGCTCCCCGAGACATGGCATCAAACGACAAGCTTTATTATAGTTACTTATTTTGTTTGAACGATGGCATGCTAGAAGCACAATATAAAAATAATATAAAAATAAAATATAAAAATTAAAATATATAAATAAACTTATTTTTTCTCAGATTCTTTCTTGAAACTCTTAGTCACATACCTGTCTGATGGCTCATTATGCAGGTCTTTGTCTTCTCTGGTGTTACTCTCTGCATAGTAATGATAGTTCACGCCTTCTCGCATAAACTATTTTCACACAGAAAGTGACTTAGAAATTTTAATTCATAGAATTGTTTTTTTGTGAGTAAGTGAACAAGATGATTCTCACATCATTTTGAAGCAAAAACACTAGACTACCAGATCCAGTTCTCAAAAGTCTTGTGCACAAATGTTCTCTGTGTGTTTCACGGCCTTGTTTCAGGGATTTCAAAATTTTAGTTTTTCACTAAACACGCATAAACGTTTCTTTCTCAAAAACACAAACACATACAAACATGCTGCTTAGGTATTATTGTAGCCCAACTTGTGCTGTTTACAGTGTTATCACACATTAGCCATTAAAATGTTTTTAAGATACTGAAAACAACACAACAAATGTCAGTGACAAATGTCAGTGCATGTCAAAACTTCTCCAGAGCCCCAAAACACCCTCAGACCCCAGATGGTTAAAAGTCATTTAATTAGGCAATAAAACAATGCATTACAAAAACATTTTAAATGTATAAATAAATAGACACTTTTATTACTGTATTTTTATTTAATTCATGTTTTAAAGGCTGATTAATCAAACAGTAAAAATTTGGGTTAATAAATCACAAAACACATTTTAAACAGCTTTTTAAATAAGCATTTGGCAAATGCTTTTCTCCCTATTTGCTGTTTGCTTTTCTTTTTCTTTTGCCACATGCTTTTCTCAAATTAAAAATAAATCAAGTTAAAAATGGCTCTGCTGTAATGAGCTTTTGTTTTCCTCTGTTAGGAAAAAAAGACAGTTAACAGTTTTATCTAGATTAAATGACCTTGGTGATAAAGATTTTCTTGGAGATATAGAACAAAATGAACTTCGTATTTTGCCATCAGAGTTAGATGACTACTATACAGAGAAAGCTAAAGGAGCTTTACAATCTAAAGTGAAATGGATAGAGGAGGGGGAAAAATTCTTCATGTTGTTTTTAAATTTAGTAAAGCATAGGCAATATTCAAAAACTATTAATAAACGTAGCATAAATAACAATGTAAGTGAAGAGAAAACTTTGATTGATGATCACATCTATTCATATTATTGTAATTTATAAAAATCAAAATTTAATGAGAGTGATTGTGACTTTTTCTTTAACTTTTTAAAATATAAAGTTCCTATTATAGATGACAGCTTCTGTGAAATGATGGAATCTGAAATTGTTATCTCTGAACTTGATGTTGCTATTTCTCAAATGTCCAATGGAAAAATCCCCAGGTATAGACGAAATTACAATTGAGTTTTATAAACATTTTTGGCCAGAGATGAGATTTTTAGTTTTTGAAGCACTTAAGGAAAGTAAAGAGAAAGCAGAAACATTAAGTTCTATGAAGCAGGGTATAGTAATTTTAGTTCCAAAGCCAAGCGAAGACAAATTATTTTTAGACAATTGGAGACCCATAACTCTTTTGTCCAATGATTTTAAATTGCTCTCTCATGTATTTGCCAATAGACTCAAAAAAAGACTTCATTAAATTGAGAAGTATTTACAATCATATCAGACTGATAGTTGATATGTTCGATTATAGGTATTTAATTCCTCAGACAAGTTTATTTCTATTTCTAGACTTTTTTAAGGCATTTGATACCCTTGAGCATGCTTTTTTGTCTTTAGGAAGTCTTTAGAAACTTTTGGGTTTGGTCAGAGCTTTTGTAGGGTAATTTCCATGTTCTATACTGATATATTCAATAGTAAATCCCTGAATTCAGGATCATCTCCTAGAGTTTACATCAAAAGAGGAATCCGTCAAGGATGTCCCATCTCACCTTTACTTTTTAATATAGCTGTTGAACTTATGTCATTATATTTAAAAAATTCAAAGTACACTATAGGTATTGATATACTTGGTAGGACTTTTAGTTTAAGTCAGTTTGCAGATGACACTTTATTATTTCTTAAAAATAAGGAGGTTCTCCCTTTAGCTCTTGTCAAAATTTCTGTTTCCTAAAACTTCTAAATTGACCTTAAACCCAAGAAAATATTAATATTTTATAAATATTAACTATTCAGAATTGTACTTTAAGAGAATTAGAGGGTATTCTAGTAAAAGAAGAAGTTGAATACTTGGGAGTTACCATCACCAAAAATTCTGTTCATAGAGAACGTTCAAATTTTAATATCTAAATGGAAGGGATGAAAAAATCCCTAAATCATTGTCTAGCTAGAGTCTTTCCATATAGGCTAAAATTCTTTTGACTAGGATTATCTAAAATTATATATTTAACTTATCCTTTATATACTCCTCCCAAAATAGTTAAATCTATAAATTCAATATTATTTAAATTTATTTGGAAAAATAAATCACATTATTTACGTAAGAATCATATGGTCAAAGAGTATGAATATGGAGGTTTGAAAGCAATCTATTTTAAATGTCTTCTTAGCACTTTTAGAGTTAAATGGTTGAAAGAGTGTTTAGCTAAGCCTTATTCAATATTGTATCATATTCCAAATAATTTGTTTAAAAAAATGGTGGCCTTGAATTTGTATTAAGAAATGATTATGATTGTTCAAAACTTCCTTTAAAGCTGTCTAATTTTCATAAGCAAGCACTACTTTTTTGGAAAATTATATTTACCCATATTTTTTCCCTCATAAATCCACTCTTTGGAATAATAGGGCTGTTATTATTTACAGAAAATCATTGTTTAAAAGTGACTGGTACAATAAAGGCATTATATTTATTAATGATTTGTTAGACAAAAATTGACTGCTACTATCTTAAAACGAATTATTAAATAAATATAGAGTTAAATCACAGATAAAGGTTATACTGAAATTTGCGAGGCTATACCTATTGCTTTGTTTAGGTTAATTCAAAGTAATTGTTTTGATCTCCCATTTATACTTATAACTTTTCTTCCATTTTTAAAAATATCAAATGTTGATATTTTCGATAGTAAATGTAACATCAAGCTTATTTACAAACAATTTAAAAGCTTATCATTGGTGATTTTAAGTGTCATCATCTAGGAGTTGTTAAACCCTTAGTAGGGAACAAAGCTTTTACCGTTTATCTTAAATATCCTGTAGCACCCAAGGTTAAGGAAACTCATTACAGAATTGTATTCAGGATATATCCTGTGAATTAGTTTATTCAAAAAAGATTTAACTTTGATGTTGACAAGTGTAGCTTCTGCTCCAGAAACACTCGATCACTTTTTTTTTTTTTTTTTGTGATCACTTATTTTTTTATTTTAAATTCTGGTTTGACATCCATCCTTGGCTTTCATTAAAGATGATTTCAGTCCCCCCTATTGTTCTAGAAGATATTTTATTTTACAAAGCTGATTTACATTGTTCTTTCTCTGATGTTGTGAACTTCATTTTAATGGGTAAATATCAAAAGTGCTGACCCTCTTTTAGATGTTTTCTTTCTAAGGTAGAGAAAGAGGCTCAAAGCTTCAAATACTTCAGAAACCAAAGTAAAATAACTGAAGCTCTCTTTACTTTATTTTAAAAACATTTATTGTCATAATGTTTTGTTTTTCTTTTGATGTAGAACTTTCGTTGCAGTTGTAACAAATTACATTTATTTTATATATTTGTAATGGTAAATATGCCTTGCGATGTTGATTGTTTCCATTTTTTGTGATGTAAACTTTTTTGCAACAATAATAAAAAAAACACATAAACTTAGTGGAATAAACAAGTTTTTCAAAATTGTTTTAAAATGTTTGGATTAAAAGTTTTGATCAACTTCAAATTCTAAATGTCGATGTATATGAGAGACAGCAGATATGTTGTGTAAAGTGGAAAACGAGGGAGAAATTTATCATGTCCTGACTGCAACAGTGAGTGGCAAAAAAAAAAAAACTAAACAAAAAAGACTTTTATTTTGGCGTGGTGTATGACGTCATTAGGCTGCGTCGCTTCCGCGCTGCAGTTTAACTGGAGGAAGGTTTGTTTCACAACTTTACACAAATATAAACCGATTGATTAAAGTTTCAGATTTTTCTTCCAATATGACATACCTGCTGTTGACTATAATTTTAATTCTTTATACAACGAAGTACTATTTTAATCACAGTAATCGAGGGCTATTGTTTGAACAACAGAAATGTGTGTAATAAGTGTTTTAATGAAGGTTTAATTTATTTAATAGAATAATGTCATTCTAATATAAGTATACATTATTATATATAAAAGAAATGGAGGACTAGTTTTTATCAGGTCATTTGTTTGTGGATATTGTTTCTTGCTCAGACTTACCTGATTTATTTTTGTTAATCACTCACATATAAAGAAACTGTTGAAGCAAGTGTTGAAGAGAAATTATTTTTTTTTTGTTTGTGGTTTTGTTCATTTTAAACAGGATAAAGTGTCCAAACGCAGTGAAAAGCTCCTGCTGAAACAACTGATCTCCACACTGTTTTAAAGATGGCGTTTATTAAAGAGGAGAGTGAAGATGTGAAGATTGAAGAAACATTCACAGTCAAACAGGAAGATCTGCAGGAACAAACAGGTTGATTTTTATTCTCAAAGACCAACTCAGTCATATGATCTTCATTCAGATATATTTTAATAATAAGAATACTAAATTAAATCCATCTTGCAGCCCTGAGTGTGCTGCCTAGTTCTCTTAAATAACTCCTCTTCAACACTTGTACATAAGCACTTATTGAAAGACAGGAACGAGTTTCTTTTGTTACTTGTTCTCAGGTCTTTTGTCATTATTTTATGTATTATTAGTCTCTCATTTTCTCTACCTTCTTAAGGTTGTTGCTTTTCTTGTTCTCCTGTTTGTAAGGTGTCCTTGAGCACTAAAAAGTCCTTGGGCACTAATGTCGTTTTAAAATTATTATTGAACAAATCCTTATATTTGCGCGTCACACTCACTATACAAATTTATCAGGACTTACTGAAAATGGAAAGGATTGGAAGGACATTTGCTGTGCTCTATCATTAATAGGGAAAAGGAAACTTTTTGCTAGATTGACTTTGTATCCAGAAGCATTTCCAAATTCTGAAATTATTGTAAAAACTTTTGGAATACATGTATCTGGATTCGACAGAAAAAGAAGATCATCCGCATATTATTATTAATATAGTCAGTCGTCGACTGAGGTGGGCCGGTCTAAGGCTTGAAATTCCAGAGCTAAAAAGAAGTCCCACTCCGGCCCTGTTCCCTTTCTGCTTTACACATTTTAGAAAAACATTTTGTTGTAATGATAAATATAAACAAATAAAAATTCCATTTAGAGCTTTCAAATCAGTGTCTTATTAATATGACCAAAATTACTTTTATGATCAATTGTGTAAGAAACTCTGAAAACTGGACTGACACGGTTTCAATTTATTATAACTTCTATGTTAAGTGGCTTTGACACCATTTGCATTGTAAAAGCACTAGATAAATAAGGATGACGTGAATCTGCTTAAATGTGTAAACGTTAATGGACCAAACAAAATATGATCTGGATATTTTACATTTACCATGCATCAAAATTGCAGTGTGTAGCCAATGTTTCCAGTGTCTTTTCACTTTTCAGCTTTTGATGAGAGTTTTTAAGACTTAATGAAAACATGTTTTATTTATTTCAGACCTAATTGAAGAGAATGAGGGGAGTAAAGAGGAGGAACATCATGTCAAAATTGAGGAAAAAACTCATTTACAGACTGATGATATTTTGAAAAGGGGAGACAAAAATAGTTTCACCTGCACTCAGTGTGGAAAGAGTTTTGGAAGAAAAGGCTATCTTAAGATTCACATGATGATCCACACTAGAGAGAAACCATTCACATGCACTCATTGTGGGAGGAGTTTTGGAAGAAATTTCGGTCTTAAGATTCACATGATGATCCACACTGGAGAGAAACCATTCACATGCACACATTGTGGGAAGAGTTTTAGCCAATCATCACACCTTAATCAACACATGAGGATCCACACTAGAGAGAAACCATTCACATGCACTCAGTGTGGGAAGAGTTTCAGCCGATCATCACACCTTAATGAACACATGATGATTCATAGCAGAAAGAAACCATTCACATGCACTCAGTGTGGGAAGAGTTTTGGAAGAAATTTCGGTCTTAAGATTCACATGAGGATCCACACTGGAGAGAACCCATTCACATGCACGCATTGTGGGAAGAGATTTAGCCAATCATCATCCCTTAATCAACACATGAGGATCCACACTGGAGAGAAACCATTCACATGCATTCAGTGTGGGAAGAGTTTCAAACAATCATCATCCCTTTATAATCACAAGAAGATCCACACTAGAGAGAAACCCTTTACTTGCACCCAGTGTGGAAAGACCTATAACTATTCATCACACCTTAATGAACATATGAGGATTCACACTAGAGAGAAACCATTCACTTGCACTCAGTGAGGGAAGAGTTTCATCCGCTCATCATCCCTTTATCTACACATTATGAGCCACACTTGAAAGAAACTTGCACTTAAGCCGCGGTCACATTGGACTTTTCTCCCCATGGATTTCCATTCATAAGCACGGGAATGCGTCAGACCGGAAACCAAGTTTGTGCATCAAGTTTCGCAGTTCACTGCATTGCAAAGTTCAAGCTTGGTGAACTCTGACCTGCAAAATCGCATCACTTGACTGTGTAAGACCAATTGAAGATCAAAACATGACCTCTCTGGATAGAAACGTAAAATATGGACCAATTTCTTTTTCTTTTTTTTTTATGTCTAATTATCTTGTTTAATCCCGCCCTTTTTCACAGCGCCATACAACAGAATTTCACATGCTTAAACGCTAGTGTGACCGTAGCTTCGGTGTGAGATGAGTTTCAGCAACTCCTCAGACCTTAATAAACACATGAAGACCCACACTAGAGAGAAACCATTAAATGCACTCAGTGTGGGAAGAGTTTCAACCGATCAGCAAACCTTAATGAACACATGAAGATCCACACTGGTGTGAAAGAGTATATGTGCTTTGAGTGTGAGAAGACTTTTAATACAAAATTGAAACTGCACCAGACGTTTCACACTGGAGAGACCGTACAAGTGTTCACACTGTGAGAAGAGGTTTAATCAGTAACACATCTGAAAACACAAAAGAGAATTCACACTGGAGAGAAACCGTACAGATCTGATCAGTGTCTACAGAGTTTCGCTTATTCGGCGCAGCTTAAGAAACACATGGACAAAAAGTTTCACACATGAATGCAGTAAAACATTTTCTCATGTGCACAGGATGTTTCATGTCTGAATAATGTTTGAAAAGGCTGAGTGACGATATACTGTTTTCCAACACTCCTACACTGCCATATGTGGGGTTGTAAATGTGTTGCGTTCCTTGCATTTACCATAAACACAATGATAGCGGCTGAGAGAAGAACAGTTTCACAAACATCTGGCAAACAGCACCTCTGCAGCTTAAAATCACTTTGCAAGTGATAGTACAGGTGCGGATACATCTGTACTCTCCAGTATATTCATGTAGCTAGTGTTGTTTTGGATGATGTTTTCTGTCTGACTCCCTGAATGAGAAACAAATCACTGGGAAGACACTGCACATCAAAGAGGGTGGAGCTCCAGGATGGTTAGTTTGCTGTATACCAGGGCCTCAAGTTTAGTATGCCCTTTCAATTGTCCTGTGTTGCAGGTTTTATTAGTTAAGTTTCTTCACTCTTAAGTTCAAGATTATTTCTAGTTTACTATATTAACTTTTTTAAGTAGAACACAAACTTAATAAATATTTTATTTAGGCAGAGCGACAGGTATTAAGTTTACAATATTAATACACTGTGATGGTCCCAAGACTCCAGATTGGAGTATGTGGTAAATCCTGATTGGATGCCTGCATTACTCATCAATGGGTTTATAAAAAATGTTGTGCTAGCTAGCCCAGGACGCTGTGTCTACTCAAGAGTCTTCATGGCAAGACCTGCCATCTCATTGAGTCTTTAACCTTATGGTTTTGTTTTGCATCCCTTGTATCATGTAGTTAAAGTGTTGTTGTGATTATATCCTAAGTTCTTTAACTTCATTATTATCTCTAGACATTTGTTGGTTGCTTTGATTGTTCTATGAGTTGCATTTTATAATAAATAATTTTCATTATGTTGTGACTCAAACAAGCGGGTCATAACACTGTAAAATGTGTCCGGTTGTATCCGAGATCTTGTCCTTTCAGTCGCGACCATAGTTGAGAGTAGGAACATGGATTGAGCGGTAAATTGAGAACACTGCCTTTCATCTCAGCTGCTTCAACACAACAGACAATCACATCAACTGCATTACTGCTGCTGCTGCACTGATCTATCATTTAATCTCACATTCCATTGCTCATAAAAAAAATACTTGAACTCCATTTGAGGTAAGGACTTTCCTTCAAACTTGAGATAGCCACCTTTTTACCTGTCAAACACCATGGTTTCTGACAGACTTACATGTGCTGTTTCTTTCCCTGCCATGTCACACTCAGCAGTAAACCGTCCCACTGCATGCTGAAGGTATGACAGTCCTAGCCTGCACCTAAAATTCTGTCAGTAAAAATTATTATATTTTTGAGATCAGCCTCAAATTAAGTTTGATGAAGTTCCATGCAATGTATATATTGAAGTCAGGGATGCATCTTTTAATCTTGGATTTGTCTTTGATAATTTGATGTCTTGTATTGATCGTTTATGAATTGACTGAATGAATTGGCATAATACTCATTTACCTGACTATTTAATTGTTATCTTTTGATTGATTCAAACAGAGTTTGTGTTATTATCTCTAGTAGATTAAGTTAAAGTCCATAACACCACAAGCCCCAGTACAGGTTAGTAACAGACTAAATCACAGTAGACGGAGCAGCATGGCACGTTATACGATGTTTTTAGAGATCCGACTAACATATTGGCATTAATTCATGTATACTTAGACTGTAAAAGGTTAAGAGGATAGACTTTTATCTATTAAACTTATAATAGTATTTGGATAGTATAGTGATTACTCTGTTACTAATAGTTTAAGTACGACTGGTCTGCTTTATTCTACAGTAATGATCATTATATGACTAAATAGCTCTGTTTGATTTAGGAGGTAGCAGATCTATGGGGACCGCATAAGAAATATCCTAATCTGAGTAAGTAGGGTTCTGCCTTTTTAGGATAGCGGTCAATCGCCACTATTTAATGACCAAGACTGACATACTTGTGTTTAAGAGATTGTATAATCGGCTGGTACAAGACTCAGGATGTTATAGGAATCCGAATGAACGAGAATAACATAAAAAAATAATGAACCGAACAGAATAATCAATCATAATCTAAAGTAATGTTGAAGGAAACAAGATAGTCGTATCAATGTTTTATAATTGGAGTCAGATAAAACGAGGATAAATATATTAATATTTTAAACCACCTCATACTAAAAATTGGAGTCAGATATTAGTTAAGTTAAAAGTAAATCAAAGACCGAACATGCAGTGAACCTTCATCCACCAGTGAACACCGTCATTGGACCAACTGCCTGGATCCTACAAAGTGGTGACCGACCTCCGTGATCTCCCAACCCATGGTATATTTTCCTTCATCCTCCTCTTCTTCTATTTTTATTCCTTTAATTTTAGTTTCTTGTTTTATTGCTAACCCTAAAGGTTCTGCGACTAGGGAATATAGTTGCGCTGAAAGAGGACATCCTTGTCTAATTGATCTTGTAATTTTAAAACAATCTGTTAAAAAACCATTACATTTTACTTTTGTTAAAGCCCCTTTATATAAAATTTTAATCCAATTAATAAAATTCTCTTTAACTCCATATGTTATGAGTACATCAAATAAATATTTATTTTAAAAAAGAACCTTTTCAAAATCTAACTTAATTCAATACCCATTCATCTTCTTTTCTAGTATATATTCTATTGTGCTTTTAATACTCATTGTTACATCTGCTATATCTCTCCCTTTTATTGCATATGCTTGGTTTGATTTAATTAATTTAGGCATTACTTCCTTTAATCTATTCGCTAAAACTTTTGCTAAAATCTTTAAATCTGTATTCAACATTGTTATTGGTCTATAATTTTGTAATTCAGTTTTTGCTCCTTTTCTTTTATATATTAACTTCATTAATCCCATCCCCATTCTTTCATTCATCTCATTACATCTAAAAATTTCTTAAAAAACTTCTTTAAGTATTCCTTTTAATATATCTTTTAAAACAATATAAAATTCATTTCCTATTCCATCTATACCTGGACTTTTCTTTTTATTTAGTTGATTTATTGCAATTTCAATCTCTTCTTCATTTCTCTGTCACATTCTTTGTTGTCATCTTTTTCTAATTTTACTTTTATATAATTTAGAATCTTCCTTTCTTTTTCTTCATCAATACCTCTTGCTTCAAAAAGATCTTCATAAAAATGTTTGATTTCTTCTAGTATTTCTGTTTCCTTTCGCAATTTTTCCATTTCTCCCTTTAATTTCCTTTATATTCCTGCTTTTACCTCTTTGCTTGTCTAAATATAAAAAGAATTTCGTGCATTTTTCCCCTTCTACTGTGTATTTAGATCTGCTCCTCAACATTGCCCCCTTATTTTTGTCTTCTTCTAAATCTCGTAATTTTTGCTCTATTTCTTTGATTTTTTAAAAATCTTTATTTTCCTTGTTTAATTCTTTTTCTAAGGATCTTTTAACTTCTTTATCTGTATACTTTTTACATCTTTGTAGTACTGCGCAATATTTGATTGTGTATTTTCTTATTTGATATTTTGTGTTTTCCCACCATATCCTTTTATCTTCATCATACATTCTATTTTCTTTTTCTTTCTCTATTATTTCTTTGACTTTTTGAACATAATCTTCATTTTTTAAAATGGTTGTGTTTAAAATCCAAGTTCCTGGTCCTTTTTGTATGTTATCTACATTCACTTTAAAATGCAAGAGCTTATGATCACTAAAACTGTTCTCTTCATACTGTATGTTTTCTATAAAATTCTCAATATTCCTAGTACATAATATAAAATCTATTCTTGTTTGACATATAAAATCTCCAACTATTTGTCTCCTTGAAAACTCTCTTTTTTCTTTGTTATTTTCCCTCCATATGTCTATTAAATTATTTTCTTTTATTAGCTCCTTTAGTTCTTTCCTTGCGGTGTCAGATTTAAAAACCATTCCATCTGCCATGTCTTGTTTATTAAAAACTGTATTAAAATCTCCTACCATTACTATTTTTTTATATCTCTTAATTACCTTATTTAAAATCTTTAAAAGCTCTTTTTTATCTTTCTCTTCCGTTGGTGCATGTATATTGGCTATAATCATTTCTTGTCCTTCATAGTCTTTTTTATTAAAAATGCCACCCCTCTTCCAGATTTGCCATCACCATTGTTATATAAGATATCCCCCTCCCACTTATTTTTAAAATCTTCCATTACATAATCTTTCCAGTTTGTTTCTTGTAATACTATCATGTCCTTATTTTTACATTTTTCTCTTATTTTCTCAAATTTCCCTTTTTCCATCATACCTCTTGCATTAAAAGATACACATTTTAAAACCATTAAAAGAAATAAAAATTAAATTAAAAACCTAAAAATCATTATTACTTATCATCTCCCTCCTTTTCCTTTAACACTTCATATCTGTTCATGTTTTTCATTCT